CAAGACAGTATGTTGCCAGTTTATATTGTATATATGTGGCCACATTTTCTTTCTTACAACAATACACATGTAATGATCAACATTAACCAAAAAAACCCAAACTTCTTCAACAAACAAACAAGGACCAAAAAAAAGATGCATGTTTAAATGATGTGCATATGCATATGCATATACCCTGTATAGTATATATTTATTTCAGAGTTGGGTGTACCTGTAGGATTTCAGTAAAGCCATTCATGATGTTTGGTTCTCAAGATGTAGAAATGACACTTCTTTGAAGTGTAGGCTCATTAGCTAATGGTCGAAAAAAATGACGGTGCTTTTTGGACATATATCCTATAAAATATTCAAAGCACAGAACTAAATGTATGAGTCAGATCCCACAATGAAATAAACTGGCAGAACTCCACAGAAGTAATGGTACTTTATAGGGGTGTGCAAAGCAGGCTCTATTCAATCTGGATTTGGCCTGAATCAGGGACAGGGATTTGATTCATTGATTTGGATCACTGTCCCTGATTCGATTCGGCCAAATCCAAATCTGAAGATTCGATGCTGATTTGGAGAATCAGCAATTCGGACATAGGCACAGCTTTAAAAGTGTTTTCTGCGTACCTTGAGGTAGCAGGCGTGGCTTGTCATCACTGCAATGCTAGGGCGTATGGAGCATCCCATGGGAGTAGGGGAACACCTTTCATGTGCTCAGTGACAAACCCGGAATTGGACCGGATGTACTTCCAGTCCACTTCCAGGTCCATCGGGGAGCGCTCAGGGGGAGAGATTAAAGGGTCCTCTGATTCGATTTGGATTCGGAGATTCAGCCACCAAATTGGGCTGAATCTCTGCCGAAACAAATCAGGGACCGAAGCTTCGTAGACCCCTAGTACTTTAATAATATTGTCCAGTTGGTGATCTGACCTTACCAAGGAGTCTAAATGAAAGAACTTCAAAGGGCCTGAACAGGAATGATGCCATTCAAGATGAACTCCCCTAATTGATGTATTGCCATGTGAATGGCATTTCATTTCATCCCTTCCATTGAAAAAAATAGAAGGGAAATTGAGCCCTTCATCCACACCATGAGAAGAAGCAATATTATTAATATGCAGCTCCAGTTTTAAAATGCTGTTAAATTAATTTATTTGTAACCATACTCTCTGTGAATTTTCATATCCAGTACTAGAGGTCTACCATAAAAGGGTCAAATTTAGAAAGAAAAAAGGTCATATTATATGATTCTGGCTTTAAATTTTAATGGCAGTTTTTTGCCTGATCCAAAGCCTAATGAAGTCAAAAAGGCCATCATTGATAGTAATGGACTTTGGATCAGACCTTTTAATTTTCTAGTTTTTCTACAATTCAGGAAACCCCTCTTAATGCTATTTCACTTAGCTTTTTTTACCTATAATGCTCATTTTAAATTAATACCTGATTTCACTTAGTGCTCAGCGAGTTTCACTATAACGCTTGTGGTCGCCATCTTGGGTCATTGGAAACAATTGTGGTCACCATTTTGGGCTGTCAAATACTTCCAGTTTTGCTTAACACACATTTTGCTTAACGCTTAGTTTTTCAGGAACCAATTATGAGCACTAAGCGGGGGTTGCCAGTTCCTACCCTTCTTCATCAGAAAATGTGATGTGGATAGATCCAAAATTTAATGTGTTAATTTTCTGACCTTTTGTGCCTAGCTTTTATTTTATTATTTTATTTCTTCCCTGTAGCTTTTCAGGCTACAACTCCACCTGGAAAGGTGACCATCATCCAACCAATGACAACAAACCCAGTGATAACAAGTAAGTTAAGCAAATACAGTGTTTAAAAAAAAAGTCATCTATTTTTACAGGGTGCAGATGCAAAAGTTAAAATAAACAGAAAGAGAGACTGGTATATGAGAAGAGGGACAGATAAGCAGAGAAGGAACAAAGATAAATGAAAAATATGATATCATGTCTGAATCACAAATTGACAGACAGACCAACAGGGAAAGGCAAAGCATGGGTGAAGGGATCTAGGATTTTGAAAAGGGGTATGCAGACAGTATGGTACATCATCACATATAAAATACAACTCATATTGTTTCCAGTTAAAGAGAAGATAGTTGCTTTACTATTATGCTAGGCGTCTAGCACTATATTGTTCAGTTTCAAAGTCTGATCTTTCAAAGTTTAGGATCAAAGCAAAAACAAATGTAACTATTGAAATGTGCACTAATCTGTTAGATTATATAAAAGTTAAAAAGCACAAGCTAGGCAAAAAAGGTAAAAAATGTCAAAAGATATTGTGTCATTAGTCCTGTAGTCATAAATATATATCTCATATTTATAAAACAAAATCTTTCTTTACTGAGAGTCTTAACATTACCTCTACTTCACTGGAAGCTATTTCTATATCTCAGTTAATATTACCATACCTGAAGTAAGGTTTCTAGCTAAAGCTAAAAGTAGTCTGCAGGGCTGTAAAGTAGAAAAGAGACATTACCATGAATGGCTAACAGGCAGCAAAACTGTAAAAAAAAGATACTTTGAATAGTGAAACATCAAGCAAGTTAAAAAATAGAGGGTCATTAACACCTACGGAGTAGCGAGTTTAGCAGGAATGAGGGAAATGATAATGAGCTGTGAAGTAAATTGACTCTCTCAGCAATAAAATAGAAATGCTGCTACCCTCCCAAGCAGTTGGCTTTAAACTTTGGGTGGGACAGGAATCAAAGAGGTAGTGCAATACAACCCTCCTGGATCTGCCCTGGTCAAAGGACAACCTAGGTTAAATCATTGTATTGTCTTGAATACAATACACATCTTTTTTCCCCAAAAAAATATCTCCTGAAATCTGTGGTGTGTGTTATAACCAAAGAAATATGGTAATAGCAATTTCTACTGTGAAAGCCTCTGCTGAGAGGGGGAGACAGAAGGAAGGACACAAAATTAAGGTTGAATGTGCTCAGGGAGCAGCACAACAAGCACACTGGGTTCCTTAGCTGCTGCTACTCAGTTACTTGCTGCCTCTTGCCCCTATTTTCAAGGATGTTTCTTTTTTCTTCGTGTTGCCCTTCAAAAGCAAGGTGCATGTCTTATTCAGGGATGTGCTTATGTAAAAAAATACAATAGCAGATGAATGGAAAAATAGATAAAAGTATATGCTCACAGCGGCTAGGTAGACATAAACAACATACGAAGGTGCATTAAAGAATAAATTAACTGAAGAAATGAGGGTTTGAGATGAAGGATATAAAGGAGTTTGCAGAAAATTCTTATAGTTCGTTTTGAATCCACAGCCTTAAACCCTGCTCACAATGGGCGCGTGTGCAGCACATGGGGCAACTTCCACTTCAAAACCTTTGATGGGGACATCTTTCATTTCCCTGGGCTCTGCAACTATATTTTTGCATCCCAGTGCAATGCAGCTTATGAGGATTTTAATATCCAGATCAGGCGCACTCTGATCAGAAATGTTCCTACTATCAGCCATATCATCATGAAACTTGAGGGTGTGATTACTGAAATAACGAAGGATTCTGTTCTCGTGGACAGCAATAGGTAAGTTTAGACACATCACTGTGCTTGAGACATAGCTACTTCCTCAACCTGCCAAAATTTTCAGTGCCATTCTATAAAAACTGTCTGTTGTATAGTAGTCTTTCCCCTCATGGATGGACACAAACCAAAAGCTCAAATCAAATATCATTGAATTCTGGCAAAGTTTGGGTCCAGATTCAGAACTACATTTTGTGGCTTGGGCTCATCGATTCTTTAAACACCTTTTCCTTCCCCTGGCCTTCCTTCTTGGAGAATTCACATTAATGCAGGGTAACAGAAACAAGCTTTTCCTTTTATGCTTTCATAGTTAGAAAATACCTACCCTGTAGTTGTTGTTTTTTTTTTCTCATAGGGTTCAGCTGCCCTATAGCCACTCTGGAATCCTGATTGAGAAAAACAATGTCTATATAAAAGTGAGCGCCAAAATGGGCTTGCTTTTCATGTGGAATGAAGATGACAGTATCTTGGTAAGATTGCATTCCCGAAGCTTCAGAGAATTCATAAAATAATAGACAGTCCACTGAAACCTTCAAAGTCAAATTGTCCATGAGTCTTGATTTTATGCAAGTGCAAACTGTGTATGGACACCCATTTGTGCATTCTGATTCCATATTTATGCATACAAACAGCCAATGGATGTGCTAATTCAGTAGTTGCATGTTCACAACAGAGAAGCTGTATATATATGTGGCCCTAAACACTGCAGTATCGAGATACACTGCAAATCCTTGCCTAGCCTTGGGTATACTCATTTCCATCATTTTGGGGGCACTGCTCCCCCGTTAATATTTTTCAAAGTTCTACTTTCATTCATGCACCACTGAAGCAAGCTACTAGCATACTCCTTGCGGGAAGGAGATGAGATGGAAAAAAATCATTTCTATTACATCATTAACATGTTAGTGTTATTACAGCAGGTGCCACTTACCTCCTCAAATTTTATTTTCCAATAGAATCCCAATTTCATAGGACTTCAATTTCACAGTGGATTTGATTTGCTCTCTGGAGAAAGAATAAAGAGAAAGAGGCTGAATATAATACAGATATTACAGTGAAAACTGGGTCTGTATGAATAGCTTGGATTCTATGAATCAGAAATCAAATCCAAACTGAGTCTTCATTCTATCAGGCAAGCTTGAATTAGTTTGCTAAAACATTTACACAGCCCTGATAAAAACTATTTAGGTGCAGCTGGCGCAGCTGCTTTCACTGATTTTGAATACATTTTGGAATGTGTATATTAACTTTTATCAACTTTCCCTCCATCATTTCAGCTGGAAGTGGCTGAGAAATATGCCAATCAGACCTGTGGGCTGTGTGGGGACTTCAATGGCATTCCAAAATACAATGAGTTCTTTTCAAACGGTAAGTGTTAGAAATAATGGCAGACTGATTGTTGATTTCTAGCATCTCCATTCTCTGCATCAACAATCTGTTATGTTCAGTCAAGTCGAGCCTCTTCAGCATTCCTCTTCTATCCTGCTGACAGGCTTGCTCAGAGAATCACCACATTTCAACCTCTAATGGCTTGAATTATATCTAATGCATAGGTAGGATACCCTGATCAATTACCAACTTCATTAATATTTATTTGGCTTATTGCCATTTAAAAACATGAAGTATGTGTACTATCCATGTTAAAAAACAATTGTATGTCTCCTATCTGCCACTGGTGTATTTATTTCATTTGATAATCAATTAGATGAGAGTCAAATTGAATAGTCTAGCATGAGTAAGTATAGAAATATATCCTCAAGACCAAAAAGTTAGCAATAAATTGTAGTAAAACAGCTCATTATAATTTTCTGGTCAGGAAAGTTTCTATTTAGTTCTGTCTTAAACGCTCCTGACTGTCACATTTAATAGCAAGCTGCTTCTAGATTTGTAAAGTCTAGAAACAATTTTTTAATCTATAATTAATATGCAGGCATCAGCACAATATCACAGTCCTGCATAGTCCAATACCATTCCACGTTGTAAATCCAGACTTGCAATCTGCATATTTTTTTACACTGTCATCTCTCCCTCTATATCCACTGTTTTTCCTCTAACTCAGGGGTGGACAAAATACGGCCCGCGGGTCTCTCCGCCACAGGGCAGCAGTGGCAGCAGAGAGCAGGCACAGGCAGCCCCACACGGGCTCTGAACGGCTGCAGCACGGGGCACCCGCCATGGGGGGGGGGGCGCTTCCCCCCCCCCATGCTGAGCACTAGCTTGTTCCCCAGAAGCTGCTGCTGAGCACAGAGGAAAGTAGCACCCCGTCGCTGCTCCCAGGCAGTGTTTGGTGTGGCCACCTGCTCAGAGCCTGTGCCGCTCTAGGCTGCGGTGTGGCAGCTACACCACTGCCTCTGTGCTGCCCAGTGCGGCAGCAGTGGCTGTGTGGAGCA